TGTGTGTGTGTGTGTGTGTGTGTGTGTGTGTGTGTGTGTGTGTGTGTCAACAGGCTTCTCAGCAGAGCAGTCCTCAGGCGGTCTGGGTTGTTCCTGCTCTCCGTCAGCTGCACGAGATCACTCGTTCTTTCATCAAGCAGACCTATCAGAAACAAGACAAGGTAACACAGACGCACGAGCTAATGCATCAGCAAAATCCATTATACGGTCTGTGCAATGTTGCCATGATAACGTCTACCTTCCTTTAACCCCACAGAGCATCATCCAGGACTTGAAGAAGAACTTTGAGATCGTGAAACTGATTACGGGATCCCTCGTGTGCTGCCATCGACTGGCTGTGACCGCTGCAGGAAATAACGGCCTCTCAGGCTCCACTCTGGTGGACGGACGATACACCTACCAGGAGGTTTGTCCACATCCCAATGTCTCATCAGCTCATTTCTTAGTTGAGGGACTATGTGGATTTTTTGAAGTCTGTCTGTATGAGGTTCTCCTCCACAGTCAGGGTTCTACTGCAGTAGATGAGTTCATAGAAACAGACAGGAGAACCAGCACGGGAGCAAAGTAATGCTCTGCTGTGGACGTATTCTAGACTAAAAGAATGTCTATCAGTTTAAGTGAAGCTATATTTAGAATGTTTTAATGCTTCTAAACATTCGAAATATCCCTTAAAATTGAGTTACAGGAGTCAGGACTATAGTTTAGTTAATTGTATTTCCTGTGTAATTTTCTGATCATCCTTACTCTTATATGGAACTATATTGCAAATGATTTATAATACAATTCATGATGTGACGTTGATTTTGAGTAATGTCGTTTGAGCTGGAATGTTTTCAGAGGAAGTAATCAAACTTGAGCAGCTCAGTGTATGACGGTGTGTGTGTGTGTGTGTGTGTGAGGGTCATGATGACATGTGTGTGTTTCTAAATCTCTTCAGTATCTGGACAGCCACCTGCGCTTCCTGGCCTTCTTCCTGCAGGAGGCCAGCCTGTACCTGGTCTGGAACAGGGCCAAGGAGCTCTGGGAGTGTCTGGTGTCGGGGCCGGACGTCTGTGAGCTCGACCGTGAGGTATGAAGACAGTTATGCAAATGGAATGCTCGTCCTTGTTTGCAAACACTTTTGTCTCTGGATGACTGCTCTGCAGGAACAAAGGCACTGCAAACATTAGCTGTTCACTCCACTCTCTTTTTGATTTTAGAGCAGTGTTTAAGGCAGGTACATGAACATACTTACAGGTACATAAACATATCTACATAAACATGCGTACAGGAACATGCGTACAGGTACACCAACATGCGTACACCAACATGCGTACAGGTACATCAACTTTTTTAACCAAAGGGAAATAGATGACTTTCAGATTTCCCTCTGAGAGATTCAGTCCAGTAAACATGGTGTGTTTCCATGTGTGCAGTCGTGTTTCGAGTGGTTCACCAAAGGACAACACGACCTCGAGAGTGACGTTCAGCAGCAGCTCTTCAAGGAGAAGATCCTGAAACTGGAGCCCTACGAGATCACCATGAACGGTGAGAGACGCTTCAAAGAGATGCACCGTCAACAGCGTTACAGCCCGTCGTGTATGTGATGGAACATGTTTTTATACGTTTCCCCAGGTTTCAATCTGTTTAAGACCTTCTTCGAGAATGTTAATCTGTGCGACCATCGCCTCAAACGCCAGGGAACTCAGCTGGTCAGTCCTCACTCACACGTTTATAAAAGTAAAACACACCTTGATTGCATTTGTATTTAATGTGCGACGTGTTCTGATTTCAGTGTGTGGAGCGCCTCGACCTGGCAGGGATGGATTTTATCTGGCGCATCGCCATGGAAACCCCTGATGAAGAGATAGCCAACGAGGCGATCCAGCTCATTATCACATACAGCTACACCAACCTCAATCCCAAGATGAAGAAGGTCAGTGTGTGTGTGTATATGTATATGTGTGTATATGT